TTTTCTTGTTTGTACTGTCAATCAGCATATCTTCTTTTATAACCTGTCCAAATTTTTTTTTTTTTTTGCCTAGTTTATTAATGGATTATTTTTCTCCCTATTTTGGGCTGTAAGAATTCTTTAAGGATTACAAATATAAATTCTTTGTCAGATAAAGGATTTGTGAATTTTTTTCCCTGTCTATGGCTTGCCTTACGATTTTTTTTTTCTTCATTTTCTATAGGATATCTTTTGAAGAGCAGATGTTGATTTTGATGAAGCCCAAATTATCAATATTTTTTCTTTGGATTGTGCTTTTGGCTTAGTATTTAAGAAATATCTGCCTATTTCAAGGTGAGAAATATTTTCCTATATTTTTTTCTATACATTTTATAATTTTAGCTTTTACATTTAAGTCTATATCCATTTGGAGTTTTTTCGAGGGGGGTATGGTGAAGTGTTTTAGCTAGAGCTGCCATAACAAAATACTGTAGACAGGGGGTTTCAAAAACAGAGATTTATTTTGTCCTAGTTCTGGAAGCTGGGAGTCCGAGATGAAGGTGCCAGCATGGTCAGCTTCTGGTGAGGACTCTCTTTGTCTCTTGTAGATGGCCGCCTTCTCCCTGTGTCCTCACATGACGGGAGAGAGAAAACAAAGTTTCTGGTATCTCTTCTTAGGACATTAATCTTACCATGATGGCCCCACCCTCATGATCTCATTTACACTGAATGGTCTTCCAAAGGCCCCAAGGCCCCATCTCCAAATACCATCACACTTGGATTAGGACTTCACCATATGAATATTGCAGGGGGAGGAGGTGGGCACAATTCAGTCCATGGCAGTGAGGTAAAGAGCTGTTGGTTTTCCTCCTTAATAGGTATCCAGTCATTCCAGTACCATTTATTTCTTTTTCATATTGAATCATCACAGCATATTAAAAAATAAATAAATTGGCCATATATGTGGTGTCTATTTTGAACTTTTCATTCTTTTCCAGTGATCGTTAGGTCTATCCTATGTCAATACCACACTGTCTTGATTATTGTAACTTTATAACAAGTATTAAAATCGGGTAGTAGAAATCCATCAAATATGTTTTTTCCAAATTGTTTTAGCTTACTCTAGGTCTTTTGCAATTCCAAATACATTTTAGAATCAACTTGTCATTTAATTTAGAAAAGTCATTTGGGATTGTTATCGAGATTACAATGAATCTATACTTGACATGGAGAGGATTGTTATCATATGAATATAGTGTCTTCTAATTCACAAATGTGGTATATATCTCCATTTATTTTGGTCTTCTTTAATTTCTCTCAGTCATATTTTGTGGTTTTTTCAATGTACAGGTCTCACACATATTTTGTTAAAACAACCTATATATATTTCATATTTTCAAGACATTATAAGAGATACTCAAAACATTTTCCCTTTCAATTATGCATTACTTGTATATAAAATAAAATTGATTTTTGCATATTGACCTAACCTCACTGAATTCACTTCTTAGTTCTAACCTCACTAAATTCACTTCTTAGTTCTAACCTCACTTCTTAGTTCTACTAGCTTTTTCGAGATTCTTATAGATTTTTCCCTTAATCTATTTAAGGGTAAGGAAGTTTGATTTTCCTTGCTCTACATTCTGATTTTCCCAAAGGCAATACTATTGGAGTGTAACTTATTCCAAAGTATTACACATGGCAAATTAGAGAGTTCTTGTATATCTGCTGACTCTTCAATGAAATAGGCACCTAGTAACCCATAAAATTATGCTCCAAGCACCAGTTAGCATAAAGACAGCCATTCAGTATTTTCCCCTTATTTGTACTCCAGTCTTGCTGCACCAGTCCCATTTTCGTCTCAAATTCCTGACTCATGACAAGCAACACTGGTTTTTAGTCTTAGACATTAAGTTTCTAATGATCATTCTAGCATTTGAATGCCGACTTCTCCCAAGCTTTTTGCTTGGCTTATCTCTCCTCACATTTCCAGTGTTTGGCTAAAGAATATACCTTCACAGAATTCTCTAAAAATAGAGCTCTTTAGAGGTAAGTAGAAACTTCATTCAGAAAGTGGAAAAAAACACAAATTACATAATTTCTGAGGAAAAGTACATAATCATGATTTCTTAAATACCCATTATGTGACTATTAGTACTGTGTCATATGCTGCTTTATATTCACAAACTCAATCTCTCCAAATCTATGTAGGAAGTAGAGATTATAATTCTTCTAATACAAAGAAGAAAACTGGAAGGCAGAGAGGTCCAAATGGCACATGCTAAGTTATTAAGAAGTGACAGAGCTATGACCTAAATCTCGTTCTCTCTGATTCCCAGGACAGGTAGGAGTGTGTGTCAAGATGATTTTTAGATATTATTTATTTTTTTAAGAAGTTATTCTGACCAACAAAAAATGTAGAAAAGAATTATCTCCTAAAACAACAAAACTAAACAAACACCAAAACAAAAATAAAACAGAAAAAACTTGAGGATTATGGGCCTTACCTACTCTGAGATATTTTATTTTTTAATGTATCTTAAAATTATTAAAAATTACAAAGATCATAGAAGACCAATTAATATTGACTGTCAGATAAGACAAGTTGCATATCAGGTAGTTTGATGTTTTGGTCGAGAATATCAATTTAATCACCTGTGGAGAGCCAGTATATTCCCCTTAAAGACTTTGGAGGAACAAGAAATTGGCAAAAACTGGTGGACAGGTACAAATGGAGTGAAAATTCTATATAACCACCAGAAAATAAAAGAAAAAAAAACCTTACTTGTTATTTAAAATCCTGAGTAGATGCCTTCTAAAATGAGGGAATAAGCAGGTAACATATGGAGGTTCCTCAAAAATTAAAAATGGAAATATATGATCCAGTAATGCCACCACTAGGTATTTGCCCAAAGAAAATGAAAACACTAATTCAGAAAGATGCATTCACCCCTATATTTAATACACCATTACTTATAATAACCAAAATGTAGAAGCAACCCAAAGGTTCATTCATAGATGAGTGGAAAAGGAAAATGTGGTGTGTACCTACACACACACACACACACACACACCCACACACACCCACTGGACTATTACTCAGCCATCAAAAAGAATGAAATCTTGCCATTTGCAACAATATGGATGGAACTAGAGGGTATTATGCTAAGTGAAGTAAGTCAGACAGAGAAAGACAAATATCATATGATTTCCCTTATATGTGGAATCTAAAAAAAATAAAACAAACAAACAAACAAAAAACCCAAGCAGATGCATAAATACATAGAACAAACAAAAAGGAGGGGGGTAGGGGAATGGGAGAAATAGGGGAAGGGGATTCACAGGTACAAACTTCCAGTTATAAAATAAAATAAGTGAGTCATGGAGGTGAAAAGTACAGCACAGGGAATATAGTCAATAATGTTGTATGATGACAAATGGTGACACATTTATCATGACAAATGGTGACACATTTATCATTGAGTCATGCATAGAACTGTCAAATCACTGTGTGTCAACTCTATGTCAATAATGAATATTAAAAAAAAAAAAAGACAAATAGGAATACGTAGGAGAAAAATCCAAAGGAGGGAATTCTGGAGATAATGTTATCACCTAATGAAAATAAACCATCACTTTTTCCAAACATACACTAATTTTTATGGCCAGTAAAAAAAAAAAAGTATCATAAGCCTTAGGTCAGTGAATAAGTTATAATCCCTTTTTAATAACCATATAATTTTAAAAACAGTGTATATGCCTAAAAATATTCATTTTCTTAAGAGAATATTTATTTCTTAATAGTTATCTAGAATGTGATTACTATTATTACTGTCAGGATCTAGGTGGATTGAAAATAGACAGTTGAGTGAACTCATAGCCACTAAGTAAACATAGAATTGAAGGCTCTTAGAGAAATCAGTGTGGGAGAGGGTTTAATATTACCTAGGCAAAAGGGTCCAGACTGGTAAAATTACTTCAGCTCAGTTCAGGTTTTTTCCCTCTCCTTAAAATTTTAAAAGACATACGGCCTTGGCCTAACCTAGATGGATATTATTAAAACCTGACCTTGAATAATTATTTAATGGTTTTGTAAGAATAAAGTTTTGAAACTAAAATTGCTATATCAAGTACAACAAAACTTCACTATAATTGTCTTATAATGCCACAGATTCATTTTCAGAATGTATAAATCATGTTCCCAGTGGGAAGACTGATACATTAAGTATCTCTTATATAGAATCCCCAAATCTAAGTAGGTCTTGTCTTGGATGAGTGACAACAACATCACAAAGGGTCATTGCACAAAGACATTCATTTATCTAGTTGAAGTTCATGTCTAAACTTGTGTCTGTAAATAATGATTATGAAACAAGCATTCGTTTAAGACATTTATGGATTCCAACCATATGTTATGACCAAGAAACCAATGTATTTTCTTTGACATACTCTATTTAAAATCTGGGTTATGCATTTCATATATTATAGATTTGCCAACATTTCTTCAGTCACTCTGAATTAACATTTACACTTAATGTTATTAACATAGAAACCTAGATAAATGAATACTGAATTAACATATCAGAAACCTAAAAAGTAATATATCAACAATTTAGTATAAAACTCCTTTCAATTTTTTTTGCTTATTAAAAACTCACAAAAATAATGCCAGTAAGGACATGTTGAATTTCATGGGAATCCTATTGCACTGAACATATTATAGGATACACCAAAAATATAGTATTGTAATAATATAATAATATATTGCATGATTAAAATAATTATTAAATTAGTTTGAGGCCAGTGTAAAAGACTGAACTGTTTTGAATAGGGTAATTAACCTGTCATAGAATGAATACATTTTATTCAGATTGTCAACAAAAATCTGAAGAAATTATATATTTGGTGATTTCTACCCTTTTCCAAAACAGTGATCATCCTGGGAACTAGTGGACAGAACCTGTCCTTCAGGTGTCTATTTGTCACCCACCTCCTTAGTTGTTGTGGCACTTAGAGCTTACCTTCCTGACTCAAAGGTAAACCATGTTGAGTCCCGTCCATATCTCCTCAGGGAGCTGAGAGGCCACATCACCAGTTTGACCTTGGCATTGTGGATATCCCAGAGATAGATATTCTCATGAGTGATCTGCATTGTGCATTCACCGTAAATATCCAGATTTGGTGTAGGCATAAGATATACATTGAATCTCTCTGCAAAGAAACAAAGAATGGAACAAATTAAGTGAAAAGAGGTCTGACTTTTGATAGTAACACTGTATTAATTTATATACCTACCTACAGCCTTCAGAAAGGTTGTCCCTTGGGACATTACCATGTCCCTCGGGAACATCAATAGACAATGCAAAACATTACCCCTTCCCATTGGATGTATGAGACAATGAGTTAATTAAAATATTTTTGCTCATTAGTTCATTCACTCACTCATTCTACACTCTGTGTTGCATGTATTCTCTAGAATGAAGATGACATAGTTAAATTGTACCATGGAAACATAAGGATAAAAGCTAAGTTAGGTCTCTGCCCAAATGATGCTTACTGTCTGCTTCTTCACACAATCTTAAATGCATATCATATACCTAACTCCTGCAAGGAATGTCTTATTTTATTTAAGAGGAGTTTACTCAATTTTACCTTTGTGTTATGAAGTATTTAATGCACACTTAGACTGACTCTCAAAATACACTGTATTCACAGTCAAATTCAGCATATGATAATTGCAGGTATTCATTCCTGCTTTCTGTAAGACTTCAGATAATGTTTTAGTAAGCAAAATAAAAACACAGCCACCTTCATTCTCAGATATTCTAGAGTTGAAAATCTGATTATTAGGCAATGATTCCAAGCCTTGCTTTATAATTTTTTTGTGTATCTCAAAGGCTACTGCAAAATTCTGCAGCCCTCGATCCCCATTTAAATGCATTAGAAACACTTCATAAAAAATGAGGTTAGTTCATAATTTTCAGGAAGCAAAGAACTTGGTACGACCTATAAAGTGTCCTGTAAAATATCCCTCATTCCTAGCACCGTATTCTTGGTTTATAGTAAGTAATTAATACATATTGGTTAACTATATGAATGAAATAAATATATCCCATGATGAATATGCACCACAAGAATTGAGGAATTATTAAAAAATAATGTCACGATAACAAAAAGTTTAAGAATTATTGGCAGATACATTTTTGTGAGTTTGAATTTAATTATAAATCATGCTTGAAAGGCAGTGCTGTTGAATTAATGATTTTGAGAGGCATAATGGTGCAGCTTCAGTTGAAAAAGGATTGATATGTTTAGGAATGTGCCATCATCCATCATAATGCCACAATCTTAAACAATGAATGTTTGCTGGTACTAAGCTGGAATTGCCTGTATAATAGAATCCTTTCTGCGGCAGGTATTTTGCAGAGTATTGCTTTGCTGATGCCCCAAAAAAAAAAAAAAAATCAGATTCTAAATGGGTTAAATTGGATTTAAGCATAATAGCTTGAAATTTAGTAACCATATGGACAATATTTATATTCAAGAGTCTAGATATTTTTGACCAAAATAATCTAATGATTCAATTTTTTACGTAGATCATTGACCCCTAAAACTAATATGTATATGTATTGCACATTCATTTCCTACAGAAAGGAAAACAAGATAATATAGCTGAAGAAAAGAAAGATCACTGCCCCATTAATTATCTGCAATAAAAATTATATATATAGGCGGAGCAAGATGGCAGAGGAGTAGGAGACCTGGATTTCGTCTCCTCTCAGGAATTCAGCTGGATAGGGATCAAACCATTCTGAACACCTACAAACCCAACAGGAGATCAAAGAAAGGAATAGCAACAACTCTCTGAACAGAAAAGCGGCCACTTTCTGGAAGGTAGGACACGCGGAGAAGTGAATCCGAGGTGATATTCGGGAGGATAGACGGCGGGGAAGGGGCCTCCGTCGGCCGCTTCTGGCAAGTGATAGAACCACGGAGCTCAAAATCGGAACTTTTAAAAGTCTGCTCCGCCGAGGGACGTCACTCTGGTGGCTAAGTGGGGGGTGGAACCCTCCGGGACAGTGTGGTCTCAGGACCCTCGGGGTCACAGAAAGACCTGGGGTGCCTGAGTGCGGCAGAGCTCCCAGGACACGGAGCAGGGAAGCCGGCTGCAGAGGCGGAGCCCAGGCGCGGGCTCTCAGCTCGGGGTGGCCCTAAACCGTGATCCGAGGCACAGTCGGGCCCCTGCTCCTCCAGCAGGGACCCCACAAGCGGCAGATCCGGGGAGACTCACCTTCCTCCCCCGGGAGGAGCCGCGCGGGAGGGCACCGCAGGGATCTGCTGGGTTTGGAGACTCCGCCCGGGGTCGGGTGCCGGAGATAGAGGCGCGCAGTCGCAGGCCGGGTGAGCACGGAGTGAGGCCGCAGACCGGGGAGCCGGGAGTGACTGACGGCTTTTCTCTGGGGGCGCACTGAGGAGCGGGGCCCCGAGTTCTCGGCTCCTCCGGGGGGGAGATTGGGAGGCCGCCATTTTCACTCTCCGCCTCCAAAGCTGGACGGAAAGCTCGCAGGGAACAATAGCCCCGGAGAGCAAACCCGAGCAGATGACTCAGCCGGGAGGGGGCAAGGGCGGGGCACTTCCGCCTCCGGCAGAGACGTTTGGAAACCACGGCAACAGGCCCCTCCCCAGAAGATCAGCGAGAACAGCCAGCCAAGACCAAGTTTACCGATCAATGAGAACGGCAGAACTCCAGTGCTAGGGGACTACTGCACATAGAATTCACGGCTTTTGTACCATGATTCTCTACTCTTTTAAAGTTAATTTTTTTTAACTGGCTTTTTGTCTTTTTATTTCTTTTTGAATTTTTCTTTTTCCCTTTTTCAACCAACATCTTATCAATCCCTTTTTTTAAAAAAAAAACATTTTTATTTTTCAATTTTAGAGTCATATTCTATCCCTTCATAGTAGTTACCCGTATTTTTGGCTTATATATATAAATTGTTCTCTCTTTAAAATTTTGAGATAGTTTCTTCTAACAGATTAAAATATACTCTAAATCTCTAGTATATGGTGGTTTCTATTCCCCTGCCTGATCACATCCTCTCCCTTTTTTTTTCTTTTTTCTTTTTTTAAATCCTCTTCTTTCTTTTTTCAAACAACTTATCAATTCCTTTTAAAAATTTTTTATAATTTCCATCTTCACAGTCATATTCCATCCCTTCATCATATCAACCCTTATTTTTGTACATATATAAGTTTTTCTTTCTTTAAAATTTTGGGAGGCACTTTCTCCTAAAAGACCAAAATACACCCCAAATCTAGTGTGTGTCACTGATCTATATACCAGCCTGATCATATTTGATCACATTCTGTTTTTTTTTTTGTTGTTGTTGTTGTTTTGTTTTGTTTGTTTTGTTTTTATCTTTATCTTTTTTTTTTTCTCTCTTTCCCTTTCTTTTCCCACTGCTTCAGGTCTTTTCTGATTTGTTTAGAGTATATTTTCTGGGGACGTTGTTACTCTGCTAGCATTTTGTTCTCTCATTAATCTATTCTCCTCTGCACAAAATGACAAGATGGAAAAAATCACGTCAACAAAAAGAACAAGAGGTAGTACCGACTGCCAGGGACCTACTGAATACGGACATTAGTACGATGTCAGATCTAGAGTTCAGAATCATCACTTTAAAGATACTAGCTGGGCTTGAAAAAAATATGGAAGTTATTAGAGAAACCCTTTCTGGAGAAGTAAAAGAACTAAAATCCAACCAAGTAGAAATCAAAAAGGCTATTAATGAGGTGCAATAAAAAATGGGGGCGCTAACTGCTAGAATAAATGAGGGAGAAGAGAGAATCAGTAATATAGAAGATGAAATGATGGAAAATAAAGAAGCTGAGAAAAAGAGAGATAAACAACTACTGGATCACGAGGGCAGAATTCGAGAGATAAGCGATACCATAAGACGAAACAACATTAGAATAATTGGGATCCCAGAAGAAGAAGAAAGAGAGAGAGGGCCAGAAGGTATAATGGAGCAAATTATAGCAGAGAACTTCCCTAATTTGGGGAAGGAAACAGGCATGAAAATCCAGGAAGCACAGAGACCCCCTCTCAAAATCAATAAAAATAGGTCAACATCCCGACATCTAATAGTAAAACTTACGAGTCTCATAGACAAAGAGAAAATCCTGAAAGCAGCTCGGGAGAAGAGATCTGTAACCTACAATGGTAGAAACATTAGATTGGCAACAGACCTATCCACAGAGACCTGGCAGGCCAGAAAGGACTGGCAAGATATATTCAGAGCACTAAATGAGAAAAATATGCAGCCAAGAATACTCAATCCAGCTAGGCTGTCATTGAAAATTGAAGGAGAGATAAAAAGCTTCCAGGACAAACAAAAACTAAAGGAATTTGCAAACACAAAACCAGCCCTACAGGAAATCTTGAAAGGGGTCCTCTAAGCAAAGAGAGAGCCTAAAAGCAACATAGACCAGAAAGGAACACAGACAATATACTGTAACAGTCACCTTACAGGCAATACAATGGCACTAAATTCCTATCTTTAAATAGTTACCCTGAATGTAAATGGGCTAAATGCCCCAATCAAAAGACACAGGCTATCAGACTGGATTGAAAAACAAGACCCATCGATATGCTGTCTGCAAGAGACTCATTTTAGAACCAAAGACACCCCCAGATTGAAAGTGAGGGGGTGGAAAACCATTTACCATGCTAATGGACACCAAAAGAAAGCTGGGGTGGCAATCCTTATATCAGACAAATTAGATTTTAAACCAAAGACTGTAATAAGAGATGAGGAAGGACATTATATCCTACTTAAAGGAGATATCCAACAAGAAGATCTAACAATTGTAAATATCTATGCCCCTAACATGGGAGCAGCCAATTATATAAGGCAATTAATAACAAAAGCAAAGAAACACATTGACAACAATACAATAATAGTGGGGGACTTTAACACCCCCCTCACTGAAATGGACAGATCGTCTAAGCAAAAGATCAACAAGGAAATAAAGACTTTAAATGACACACTGGACCAAATGGACTTCACAGACATAATCAGAACATTCCACCCCAAAGCAACGGAATACACATTCTTCTCTAGTGCCCATGGAACATTCTCCAGAATAGATCACATCCTAGGTCATAAATCAGGTCTCAACCAGTACCAAAAGACTGGGATCATTCCCTG